GGTGGCACCTGCCCGAGGTGCGGAGGTGGCAGGAGGCCGCTTGGCAAGGTCCCCTCGTGGGCTCTGGGCTCTTGTCCCTGACTGGCCCTGGCTGCGTTTCCTCCCTGTGTGGCACCCGGGAGCTAAGTGAGCCAGGCATGTGGGACAAGGCAGATCCCTCCTTCTTGACTGCCATTGACGTCTGGCATTTGCTCCCTCCTTGGTGCTGCAGCACGAGGCACTGAGGGTGCCTGGGCTCAGGGCCCCTGTTGCTTTCCCTCAGGGAAAGCTTCCAAAGTCCGTGCTGTAAAGCAAGATGTCCACCCCCAGCCTCCTCTGCTTAATTTGGTGTATGTCTCTTTTTTTGGGGTGCTTGTCCCAAGGCAGCCTTGAGCTTCGTTTCTCAGCAGCGGTGGGATCTGTGGCTCAAGCTGAGATGGCTGAAAATCCAGCTGGAGTTGCCTTTTGCTAGGCACCCAGGGTGCATGTTTGAGTGTCCAGCAAAAGCTGTGGGTACTGAAGCCTGTGGACAGCTCATTGCCCCTGGAAAACAACTTCAAAGGCAAACTGAAGACAGGGTAAATAAAACCACTAGTTATTTCTTGAAAGGCTTCTGAGTGCATCCAACGTCCACCCCAAATCTTAAGCCTTTCCATGAGTCCATCAATTTCCTTATGCACAGGCCACTTTACTGAATAGCATTTTGAAGCCTGTAATGATACAAGGAAAGAAGCTAGTGGTCCTGAAAAGAAGTGCAACCTTTTCTGTGGGAAAAGGCTGAGCATCATGGACAGGGCATGCAAGCCTGGGAGTGGGAAAGCAAATGAAATGGGCTGCCATGCACCAGATGGTGCCTATGCCAGCAGCAACCCCTGTTTTAGTGCTTTGCCTTTATTCGCTTGAAGACCTCAGTCTGTTTGCTGGGTCCTTTCAGGTCTGTAACAATTTCTGTCATTTCTGCAGTGTCTTCCATCTGAGAATCGTAAAAGCTTTGTAAATATTAATGAAAGAAAGCTTTGCTAAACCGACGGGAAGCAGCACTTCTCCTTCAGCAGACATGGGTGTTTTTTTCCTTCTTTAGCCCTTTCTTTCTGTATTCTTCCAGCAGGACGCATCCCTGTTGTAGTGTCTCAAAATAGGCCCTCTTGTCTGTATTTTTTCTTCACTTCCATTTTAACTTTTCTCCCAATGTCTTTTTGCCTTCTAACTGCTGTGTAACTCTGTTCACCACTAGTGCAGCCAGAAGACTTACTTCTCCAGGAAAAGTAGCTGTGTGGCTGTGACTACTTGGTGTGAATGCAGTGTGTGCATATGTAAGGCCTGTTCTTATCCACAACTTTTTGTTGGAACTTTGTGCTTAAAAGCGTGCTGTTATCTTAACAGTATCGCAGTCCTGGGTGTGGGCCGTGTTCTTCTCGTGAAATGTGCCTTTTGGCAGGTAGCTCATGACATTGCAGCTTCTGCTGGGGAAGCTGAGGGGTGACTTGTGCCTCGCTGCCATGTTCTTCACTCATGTGAGTGTGCTCATGCGTGTGGCTCATGCTCTGTGAAAACTAGGTGCAAGTAAAGTTGTCTGGGGATTTTCTATGTGATAAGAGTAGAAAAACGCCAGCTTGCCAATCTTGAAATGTTTTGGTCTTGAGAAACACAGTGCTTTTTTTTTCCGTTTGTTTGTTTTCATTGGGAAAATGTTTTCCTGGTTTTGTGTTTGGGATCTTGGGAACATACCCTGCTGTATGTGAGATCTGGGTGCTTGGAGACGCAGAAGGCCTAGAAGAGTGTGGCTGAAGCTGAGGCTCTCCAACCTTGCAGTCTCTCGGTACCCGCCCAGGAGCCTCCATGAGTCTGCAGCCCTTCTTCGTGGAGTCTCCTAAGGCTTTTGGGTGACTGGTCCCACTGGCTTCTGCACAGACTAGCAAGTGGCTACGTCTGGGGTTTGACTGGTCTCTGAAGGGGTCCCGAAGTGTGAGGGAATTGCAGATCCTGGAGCATGGGAGTTCCTGGCCTAAGCCAACATCTGTTGCCCGACTGTCCCTTTGCACTCCTTAATATGAGCCCATTTAGACGGGAGCACTGCCAAGCAGGTCTATTTTTAGACCTAACAGTTTTGACAGTGTTCCTTTAAGTATGCCTTTTTTTTTCCTCCTTCCTTCTAGTGAGAATGAAAGAACTAGGTCAGAGTCAGTAGAAAAAGGCTTTTGATCTTTGCTACAGTGTTCTCGGAAATATTTTTCTCTTGCTCTTGTGCAGCGGAGGTAAAGGAGGAGAGAGACGGGTGATGTTTTCCCTATGTTTATTGCAGAGGTAAGCACAAGCCTGACAGCAGCACCCAGCCAACATCTGCACACAGGTAATCCCCCACACTTCTCTTAGGTCCCACGCAGCTCTGACCTGCATCACCCTTGAGATTCTTGAAAAAAAAACAGCTAATTATATCACAGAGTGGTTTCCTAGTAAGTTTGGTCTGCTACCTTTCTTCTTGTGTATAGGCTTTAGAAAGTATACAAATATATTAATTGCTAGACTTCTCCTGAAGGCTGATGAAAAGTTAGTTCTCTGCTGTCTTGTGGCCCTTGTTTAGTGGTCTGGTGCTGTTGACCTGGACCTGTGTGTTGGAGAATATTTTTCTCTATGTGGGGTCTTACTGGCTTAAGGGTGACAGAAGGGCTCTGGTTTTGCTCCTCAATGGCTCTGAGGGACAGCAGAGACTTAAGAAAGAGGTTAGAGCCTTCTGGGATGTAAAAGTAGGGTTAACTGCTGCAAAACTGAGCTTGTTTGCAGCCTGTGAGCAACTCATGTCGAAGCAGTCCTGCGAATTCCAGCCCCGTGGTACAGCTCAGTGGAAAGGCTTCAGCGTTCAGCAAGCTTCAACCCATGGTGAATGTTGCCCTGTAATTCCTCAGAGATTTGAGGTACTGTGTGCATCTGAGCTTGCTATGCCAGTCTGCCAAGGATGTCAAAGTGAGTTTAGGACCATCAAAAGGACTTAGATGTTAGTTTCAGGTATCTGTTGCGCTGTTCCAAGGTGTGCCCAGAATTAAAATAATCTTGGCCAAGTATTGAGCTATCCAACCTTACTTATCTCGATACCCACTCCAAGCTCAGACTCTCTACACTTAAGTTTCCAGGGAATCTGATCTAATAGATGTTTTCAGCACACCGCATTGCCTGTGGAGCAAAGAAGTCACAAATCTTGTCATTTGAAAATAGCATGTGCTCCCATCATTTCTTGTACTTTCCTTAATAGGTCTCAACGGCTCCTTAGAGGAGATTGATAGGACAGGAATGGACATATAGGACATTTAGTGGCTATTTGTTGCAAAAATGCATTAAGCTGTTATGGGGTTATGTGTATTGGTACACAGGTCTGTTCCCATCCCCTTGTGCCTGGCAGTCTCTCTGTTGGGCTGCAGCATCTTGGCGCTTCTTTCCTATTCAGCCACAGCCTAACTTCAGAAGATGGGGCTTGCTTCATGCCCCCTCCCCAGCGAGCAGTCTCTGCCTTCAAGCATTTTGTAGAGTTCTCCCATCTGGGTTGCTACCTTTTTTTTTTCTTTTTTTCTTTTTTCTTTTTTTCTTTTTTTCTTTTTCTTTTTTCTTTTTTCTTTTTCTTTTTCTTTTTCTTTTTCTTTTTCTTTTTCTTTTTCTTTTTCTTTTTCTTTTTCTTTTTCTTTTTCTTTTTCTTTTTCTTTTTCTTTTTCTTTTTCTTTTTCTTTTTCTTTTTCTTTTTCTTTTTCTTTTTCTTTTTCTTTTTCTTTTTCTTTTTCTTTTTCTTTTTCTTTTTCTTTTTCTTTTTCTTTTTCTTTTTCTTTTTCTTTTTCTTTTTCTTTTTCTTTTTTTTTTTTTTTTTTAGAAAAAGAGCTCCATTGCAACTCACTACCTGTAAAAATCAGCTGTGTCTCAACTATACCCAGAGGAATAATGTAGCTGTGTAATTCTAGGAGTCTGTTTAGGGCTGCAAATTCTTGCTTTGGGTGAGTACCTTACTGTCTCAGGCATGTATGGGGAATCTGTGAGCTGGAGTGCAGGAGGTTCCTTCTGTTCTGGCAAGCAGATCCCCAAGTTAAACTGTGGCTACAGAGATGTCACTGCACTGCAGCCTGAGCAGTGAGTGGTTATTAATTGCTGATTATTTGGTCATTTTCTCCTTCCTTCTTGAGACTTATGAGAGCTCCCAGCATGGTAGGTAGTATCTAAGGAGGCTGTGTAGTGTTGTTCCTCTTTGATAGCTCAACTCATGAGGCCAGGGCACACTGTTCAGGTGCCAGACTTTTGCACGTCTTACTAGCATGTCAGGGGATATCTCATAGGAGAGCAGTAGTGAGAAACTCAAAGAAAAGCACCGTAGCTAAGTGGTATAGGCAAGTATAACAGTTGCAGATGGGTGCAGGCTGTTCAGCTGCTAGCCTTGGAGAGGGTTATGTCCAAGAAATCTTCTGAAGTCTTGCTAGTGGGTGCAGGCTTAGGCATCTGGACAGCACTCTGAGCTGTGATCCTGCCCATGGCACTCTGGAACTGAACAGCTAGTTTGCAGAGGCAGAGCTGCTGGAGGAGTATTGCTCAGTGCACTGAGCAGTGTTCCAGTGTTTGATCAGCTCTCACATAAAGGAATGTGTTGTTGTGTCCAGCTGGAGCTTTCCGTGTTTTGATTTGTGCCTGTTGCCTCTTGTCCTGTCACTGGGCACCACTGAGAAAAGTCTGGCTCCATCTCTTTATTCTTCCCGCCTTGTGTATTTATGCACGTTGTGACAATCTCCCCAGTGTTTTCTCCTCTCCAGGTTGAGCGGTCCCAGGACAGGTAATGAAGTCATTTTGAAGTCTTTTGAAACTGCGTGGTAGCCGGTAATCGAAATACCAAGTAGAATTTCAGGGGTCATGAGAAACAGTTTTCAGAACTAGTTCACAAAGCACAACAG